ACCGCATTAAAAGTAAAAAAACACAAACAACAAAAGCGCTTCAAGCGAGCCTGCGTTTTATTTTCAGTCGATCAAGACACACCCCATCCGCATTTTAAAAGACAACAGCCACTTGCCAAATTAACAGTGACAATGCTTACAAACGTTAAAAACATTAAGACAAATCTTTAAAATGTTACACGTTATGACTCGGTCAATTTTCTTCAAATGTAAAGCAAAAATGAGAAAGAGAAAAACCCCAAAGACTGACTTAAGTTTCCCAGTCGGGGCTTTCTGCAGCGGCAGGGGAGGGTACCAGACCCTGCCCATGCCCAGACGACGAGGACAGAAACAGCAGAGCCTTGGTTTCAGTCCGTTTTGACATAAAAGCTTGAAATACTTAATTATGCTTCTTTCTTCTGTTCTTGCTGCCTTTCAGAGGGAGATGAGCGCTTGGGACAGGACAACTACGAAGTGGCTCTTCAGACAGTTTCATCAGCTATGCTACCTGTTCAAAGATTGGTTGTGTACCAGGAATTAAATTTCATTTCAAAGACTTGCCTGGCCACGACTTCCAGAAAGGTTAAATTTTCAAATTCTTCAAGTGTGCTTTTATGATGCATATTAATCCATCAAGTTTAGTACATTGATTACCTACACTGCATCAAATCAAACACCGTTTCTTCTGACTCACAGAAAATATACATTTTTTTCAAGCTGTAGAACAATTGACTTTAAAGACGGATCTTCTGCCCAGTTGACTCTGCTTCCAATTATGATATTCTGTAAGAAAGGAAGATTATTGGTTAAAAAAAAAGCTTTTACTAGGAATAGTGCTTTTAAAAATCTCTCAAAAGCTGTCTCGTTTCTTAATTTTTAATTTGGAAGCCCTTGAAATTCACAGCAGTGTTTGAAGTAGGCGGTATGGGGGGAAAGAGGAGAAATGGAAGTATCATTTTAGATCCTATTTGTCAATACATAAGCAAAAATAAAAAAGCAGTGCTTTGAATTTCCTAGAGGTGCTTGCACACCATCCTTATTTTAAACATAAGAATGTAGAGGATTGATTTTTTTTTTTTAAAAAACACATGAAATAAAGTTTGCCTCAAGCACAAGATAACACAGTTAACATTCTCACCCTGCCATTCTGGATTGAAAATAGAATTACTAAGTTTAACCAAAGAAGTTTTGCTCTACTTGCAGCTCAGAAGATTCCAGGAATACAAAACCAGAAGATAATTTTAACAATCTAATTAAAACCCGCAAAAATGTTTAATTTCTCATTCTCAGTTTGAGATGTAACATTGTTATCAATGCAAACTAGTAGTGGACACAGCATGAGATACAAAAACATGTGGCTCTTTTTCTGTCTTTGGAATTCTTCTGATCATCCAAATTCACAGCATGGTTATATTCTGTCTTCTACCTGAAGCCCTCCAGTATGTTCTCGCTTTTCCCCAGTCTAAATTTTTTAATAAACTTTGTGCACGCTTAACTGGGATTTCATAACCGGATAAACTCAAGAGCACTGCAAGTGCAATTTACCGTTCACTGTGCCTGCCATCTCTGTACTTAAGTCACTGATCTGTGGGGCCAGGTGAAGGAAGTCAGGACAAGGACACGGTGAGAGGCAGAACACCAGACTGCAGCAGAGCGTGCGTGACCCTTAGCAGAGCCCCTCTGAGTGCAGGATGCTGCAGGAGGCCCTTCCACCCTATCCCAAATCACGAGGTCGTCTTCTTCGCTTTGTGTGACCCCACGCTCCAGACGACCTGCCAGCCAGCTGCATGGACACAGGCTAGTCAGCAGCATCTGATATGTGGGTAACCGAAAGGTTGCAGGCTACAGCGCTGAAAGTATTTGGAGACTGGCGGTGGCTGCCGGCCACGGCTTTCACAAGGCTGCAGCGGGCGACACAAAGAGAGAAGTGCGTGTGGTCAGAAGGGGCAGACCGAGGAGCAGCAGTCTGGCTCACTGGTATCGTGGGATTAAGACCTACTTATTTTTTCTAACCCTGAGACAGGGGAACTGATTTGGGGGTGTGTGTGAGGGTGACTCTCAGTGTAAGGAAACACAGCCACTGCTGTGACAGACATTCTCTGGGAAAATGCATTACTTTTGTACCTTTAAGAGAACAAAGGAATAAAGACAGATTGATAGACTGTCTCTAAACTCCATAAATAATTATCCCAAAGAATTTTGTGACAATTTCATGCTTTTAGCCTTTAAAGCAATGAAGTTTTCCTTTCATACAGCAGTTTTTCCATTACCATCGTTACTTAAAGATTTTAGACAACACAATTTTGTAAGTTACATTTACCATACGCTATTGTTACCTTGACTGTAATGCAAAACTGTGAACTTGCTCCTAAAAGCTACAACACATTACCTGAAATATGTTTTGAATTACCGTAGTCATCTCTCTTTCTTTTCGTAAGTTATTACATATGGTCTCCAGTGCTTTGCTCACATTCTTACTTGTTTGTTCCTCCTTTTGTTTTTTCATCATGGTATGAATTTGCAGTAGTTTCTGTCCTCCGGCTTTTTTTAGTGCTGTTCCATTATTAGGAAAATGAAGTGTTAATAAATAGTTAGGTTAGCAGTACGACTAAAGATTTGCCTTTTTCCTCACAGGCATCTAAGGCACTTCCACTGCAATAACCTTAACTTCACACTCCATCCCTTCCCTCCAATACACCTCAAGATATTCCTTTCACACAAGAGGCAACATGTGCTGTGGCTACCTGGCATCAAAGTACATCACTTGGTTCCCTGGCTGCTAGCAAAACGAAAAGTACTTTTTATGCTGTCTGCATTTCCATCAGGCACGGACCGTAATTTGAACATCTGTCCTACACCCCATCTTCGGTTGTCACAACTTTAATCATCAGAGCTGTTTAAGACCCTTTCCCCTTTTTCAAATTTGATCGAAACCAAATTCCAAAGTTGTACAAGGGACATATGGACAAGCCTAGTGAATATTACTAGTTTTTTATAGGAAATCAGGCTAAAAACTAGACTGAATAAAACCATTTAGGGACAATTCATACACTGAAAGAATGCTGACATAGCATTCCTTCCCTTATTTCCAAAGATATTAGGCGTGTTCATTTTTCCTATGAAGACAGATATTTCATTGTGTTTGTTCATTACTGTCAACATATACACCACTTCCTATGCATGATACAACCAATAGTTGTTTAAACTGTTGGCAACCTGGTCATATGACAGTAGGAGCATTCAAAAAACATATTTACCTTATCGAGTTCTGAAGATTGACTTCACATCTAAATTTGACTCACTCTAACAAGCCTACTGAGTACAAACATATATACTATTACGAGAGTTCTTTGTAAGTAAATCCCTTCCCCTATTCTGCAAACATTTCATAACGGTGCAGTCTGACAAAGAAAAAAATCCTTTAGGTGTTGTAGGACAGATTTGCATCTCTCATTCTAACGTGTCAGTCTCATGCTCAAGCAGACAACACGCTAGCTCATTTTTACAGTACTTCCTACTCTTTTCAGGATTTTTATAACTGTGTTTAGAGTTTTGCAGTTACTTCAGATGTAAATTCATATTTCTACAAGAAGAACTTTAAAATATGAACTGTACATTCAAATATAAAACAAAGTCAATATAGCTAACGCACTTACAGAGTCTCTTCCTTTTAAGGTCCATCAATTTCTGTTCCTTCTCACGTGCTTGCTGAAAGAAAAAAGAAGTATTTCCTAGACTATTGGCTCCAAAAAATATTGAAAGATGCCAATTCAATCCACAAAAGCAGTTAAGGGCAGCTCTAGAAGCAGGCTTTCTTACATACTCACTTTAAGTAATCATTTCAGTAATTTTAACACCAGTAGAAACCACAGCCTTTGGGCCACATATTTAGCTTCAAATGACTTTTGCAATCCTGTTACTTTCAAATTATGCTCCTGCCCACATTGAGGTTGGTGCACCTGCACAACTGCGACTTACCTGCTGATATTCAATTACTGCCCTGCTGAGCGTTACTATCTGCTTCATGATTTCCATGATCAGTCTAAGGAAGGAAACACAGTTGCGTACGTTAAGACCATTAATAGGCGTCAACAGCATAAATGTTTTAATCAAGGTTATTTGGATTAAACAACAAATCCTCATTTCCCCTAACACCAAAATAAAGCATACTTTTTTTTTTTTTTTAAACAAACTGCATCCCTTTTTTTTTTCAGTTATTATACTACGTATTGTTGTAGGGGCCAACTAGTCTCCTTATTTCCCTCTCAGTTTCCTTAATGTTTCAGTTAAGTCTGTCTAACATTTCAAATCACAGAGCTTGGAAGGCATCAAGGAAGCCTAGCCACCTGCAAATAGCTCAGGATTGGACCTCCTGAATTCTAGTGTGTGGCAGGGACACCATGGAGATGCAAAGTTTTCAGCTGTATGTCTGACAGAAATTAAACTTCTCATATTACACTTCATATGTGTGCACTTGTTAATATTGGGCAGGAAATTAAAAGCTAATTTTAAACGTGTTTGAAACTTTCAGTTCTTTTTCAAAGACATTAGGCTCTTACACGATTAATTAATGAAGGCAGCAAGGCAGAGGAAAGGCTCTGTTACAAGCCTGTAATACGTGCTCAGCTGTTATAAATGCAGGTAACTCATGTATTAAAGACAAAAACTTGTTAAGTACAAACAGTTCTCATTAGTGACTCAAAAATTATGATCTCTGTAATCAAAAGTTAGTTAATTCAGAGCCCAAATGTAAATCTACCCTGGATATAAGAGGTCTGATCATGCTGATTCTAGCCAGAAGGTGAACTGTATATAATTCAGCCAAAACTGGAAGGAGGAAGCTTGATTTTAAGAAAAGGTACAATAAAGTAATGTAGAAACGTGTCACATTAAACTGTGTAAAGTCCATTCCTTTCTAGCTGTTCCTTTTCCCAAGAACACCTTACCCTGAGTCATTATCATTTTGCTTCACTTTGTTTCTCAGCGCAGCCGTAAGTTGCATCCTGCGTAGTGTGGGGAAGAAACATGTAACTGATGAGAACTGATAAGAAACTGAGAGAAGTAGATTTAGATAAGTAACGGAAAAGATATTCCCAAGGTTCCATTTATGTCCACTTTCACATTGGAATGGTATATATAAAATACTCAGTACCTTTTAAGTATCACACTTCTTAAATAATGGGGCTTAACTCCCAGGACAAGAAAGGCGTTATCAATGATTATTTGTGAGAGTGACAACTCTCTTCTCTCTTGCCAAACATACTCGGACACCATTAATTCCAGAGTCTGCAGAAGGGAAGCTGGGCAAAGGTGGGAATTCAAATGAAGAGCCATGTAAGACAGGAGACATAGAACACCTACCAACTTCTGCCTTTTCATAGGCATTTGTAAAATACTGCCAAGAAATATGTTTACTGATTTATACAGTCAGACTTTCACAATTTTGCAGGAACCTTTGGGTTTACGCGTTTCAACTTGTAATTTTTTTTTGTTCTCTACAGTATCTCCATCTGCATTCCTACTGGTATAACGGTACTAAAATCTCTCACGTTTGTAACACACGCCATATCACTTTGAAACCCTATTTTAATCAGAATTATGTATAAGTGCCCGTATGTGCGCACACATAAACAAACAGAAAACCTCCAAATAAACAGGAAGAGAATTCTACCTTTGCAAGGCTAATGTCTTGTTCTGGAAAGAGACTTTTAATCTCTCCATATCTCTTTCCAAATCTTGTGTGGTTCTGAAGGAAGAAAAAAAAAAAGCCCAAACAGTGTGAAGATAACAAAAAATTTAAAAGCAATATCAGATTTTTAACTTGCTTTCTACACATCTAAAGTAAGAATTTTTCCTGTAAACCACAAATTATTAAGGCCAGGAGTATTTTAGCATGAAGAACTATATTAGTGAATTCTAGCCATTGCAAGAAGGACTGCAAATTTAAAAGCCACATCAGATAACAGAACTACATTAGGACACTAAGTAAAATATTTCTTCCCGATATTTTCTCTTAATTTCCTTTATTTTCACCAGACTCCTATTACGTACTGATTGTTCATCCAGAGATTTACTAAGAAGGAGTGACTAGAAGAAAATCTCCAACTTCAGTTCTCAACCCTTCTCTTTATTTTAAAATACATCAAAAGTTTGAAATTATCCAATGACATACTTATTGATAAACTTTTCTTCAATGACATGATCAGGGCCACTTTCTTGACCTGCAAAGAAAGAACATCGCTAGAAAAAGCACAACAGATTAATACAATCTACAGAGCATAGAAGATAAGCAGTTTGATGGCTATGCTAACAAGCTGTTTCTTATTCCTACCTCCACCCCTTATCATCTCTCCCACTGTTAGTGAGACTACACTATCAATCAGCTGTATCAGAGAAATAATTAGGCTTTAAAATATTTCCATTTAGCATTTTTAGGCATGCCAGAGCTGGCTCAGAGCATTGCTCTGCACATGCAGCTGGCTGGCTCAGTAGAAGAGGACACAGGTAATGGAAGCACAGCAGGAACAAGAAACACCTTAAATGAGTATCGCTGACAAATGCTTTGGCAGACTTTTGGTAAGACGTGAGCCCCAGTGATCAGGTTCCTGAAAACCATCATCACGTGTCAGTGTCAGAGGGATCTAAGGTGAAAACCCAAGGGGGGAAAGGGCAGTGGGTGGTAATCACATGGCAGTTTTGTAAGCACTCAAACGTGTCTCCAGGAGCCGTCTAGAAAATGCAGTAATGCTCAGCCAAGAAAAACATTTCATTATTATAACGAGCACTTTTGACAAGTAATTTTTAAAAATAGATCTATTAGCCACGTCACACTGCTTATGACTGTAACATCACATGAAGAGGAAGCACAGGGGGTTGTTGGAGGGAGTGAGAGTAGAGAGGAGCTTACTGGCGTGAACTGCAGTGCTGTACTCCATGAGCTGCTGCTTCATCTGGTCCCTCAGGCTGGAGCAGAAGCAAAGCCACAACGGTCA